GAGCTGATCTTTGAAATTTTCTGTTCAGCTCTTGGACCTCTTCAGTTCTTCCATTCGCTTTAGCATCTCTACGCTGGAGAGCAAGTTTCAGAGTCTCCTCTGACATCCATTTTGACCTGTTCCTTCTTTTTTGCTCTCTTTACGTATGATGTTCTTGATGTCATCCCACAACTCTTCTGGTCTTTGGTCTTTAGTGTTTAATGCATCCAATCTGTTCTTCAGATGTTCTCTAAATTCAGGTGGGATAAATTCAAGGTCATATTTTGGCTCTCGTGGACTTGGTTTCATTTTTTTCAGCTTCAGTTTGAATTTGTGTATCAGTAATTGATGGTCTGTTCCACAGTCTGCCCCTGGCCTTGTTTTCACTGTTGATATGGAGCATTTCCATCTTCTCTTTACACAGATGTAGTCAATTTGATTTCTATGTGTTCCGTCTGGTGAGGTCCATGTGTATAGTCTTAAGTCTTAAGCTGTCTAGAGAAGGTATTTAAATAAACAAGTCATTTGTCTTGCAGAAATCTATCATTCGTTCCCAGCATCATTTTTATCACCAAGTCCAAATATTCCAACTACTGGTCCTTCCTGTTTGCTCCCAACCTTTGCATTCCAATCACCAGTAATGAGCAATACATCTTGATTGCATGATTGATCGATTTCAGATTGAAGAAGTAGGTAGAATTCTTCTATTTTATCTTCACTGGCTTTAGTGTTTGGTGCATAAATTTGAATAATAGTGGTATTAACTGGGCTTCCCTGTAGGTGCATGGGTATTATCCTATCATTTACAGCATTGTACGTCATGACTGATCTGGATATGCTCTTTTTGACGATGAATGTAACACCATTCCTTTTTAATTTGTCATTCCCTGAATAGTAAACCATGTGGTTGTCAGATTCAAAATGGCTAATACCAGTCCATTTCAACTCACTAATGCTTAAGATATTGATGTTGATGCGTTCCATTTCATTTTTGACAACTTCCAATTTTCCCAGATTCATACTTCGTACATTCCACGGTGCAATTTTCAATGGATGTTTACAGCTATTTCTCTTCATTTTTAGTTGTGGCCCATCAGCAAATGAAGGTTCTGTGCACTTTTCTCCCCCAAGCTTAACTCTATTCACGTCATCATGGTCAACTCTACTTTGAGGAGGCATTTTTTTCCCCATTCGCATTCTGAGTGCCTTCCTACCTTCTGGTCCTGTATTTGACAATGTTTCTCTGTTATTCATAGAGTTTTCAGTGACTAGCGATTCGGAAGTAGTTTGTCACTCTTTCTTCCTAGTTTGTCTTTGTCTGGAAGCTCATCTGAAACCTGTCCACCATGGGTGACCCTGCTGGTTATTTAAAATACCGGTGGCATAGCCCTTAGAGTCACAGCAACTCAAGCCACCACAGCACGATAGACATATGAGTCGTGGCTTTTGGTTTTATGTTAATACTGTCACTTTAAATTTCTATGTCAATCTGGCTTTACTTCTTCCAAAACAGATTTGCTTGTTCTTCTTCTAGCAGTATACTTTCAATATTCTTCTCCAAAATTATAATTCAAATGAATCAAATTTTCTCTGTTCTTCCTTATTCATTGTCCAGCTTTCTCATGCATATGAAAGATGGAAAATGCCATGACTCGGGTCAAGTGTGCTTTAGTTCTCAAAGTGACATCTTTGCTCTTTAAGATTTTAAAGAGATCTTATGCAGCAGATTTGTCTGATGCAATATATTGTTGGCTTTCTTGATTGTTGCTTCCATGAGTGTTTATTGTACATCCAAATAAAATAAATCTTTGAAAACTTCAATCTTTTTTACATTTCTCATAATGTTATTTATTGGTCCAATTGTAAGGATTTTCACTCTCTTTACATTGAGGTGCAATCCATACTGAAGGCTATAGGCTTTGGATATTCCTCAGTAAGTACTTCAAGTTCGCATTGCTCCCAGCAAGTAAGACTGTATCATCTGCATTTCAAAGTTTTTTGTTGAGTCTTTCTCTAATCCACATACCGTGTTTCTTGTCACACAACCCAGTTTCTCAGGTTGAATAAGTATGGTGAAAAGATACAACCCCGATATACACTTTCTCTGATTTTAA